CCACCACCCCCCGCGGGCCTGCCATCTCTTCGCGGGCCCGAGGGTCCTTCTTGCCGAACAGCGGGGGCGGCTCCCCGCCGCGGCCTGCGCGCTCCTTGGCCGGACCTTCCCGTGATGAGCTTTTGGGCGGAGCGCCTGAGGAGTGGCTGCCTGGGGTCCTGGGGGGCGCGTGAGAGTGCAGGGCGCCCGGACCTCCGGGAGCGGCGGGCAGGTAGAAGCCCTCTGTGGAGAAGAGCAGGCCGTGAGGAAGGCCAGAGGGGTGCGGAGCAGCCCTGAACCCCAGGGGGCGCAGGTCTCACACAGAAGAGCATGCTTTGGGGAGGCCAAGCTCTGCACCCGGATAGAACTGAATTTAAAATTCACTTGGGGGTGGGGGCGTACTGGCAGTGCTGGGGCTGAAGTCTCAGGGCTATCACCAGCCACTGTGGCATGAGGCCCGTAGGGGGCCAGGGAGCTGACCCACATGGCACAGCAGACCGCTCCTGGCTTGCCCGCTGCTCCCCTCAGCAGTGTGCTTCAGTAAATCTAACCATTCTGCGCCCCACTCTGTCTCTGGTGAGTCCTCTCACCACCCACCCCCTCCTTGCCCTTCTGGCCTGTACCCCAGCTCTTCTATGCATAAATAAAAATAAATCTTTAATGTAAAATAAAATTTAAAAATAAATAAAAATAAATCTTTAAAAAGAAAACGCACCTACTCATCTTTCTGAGCCTGTTTCCTCATTAGCGGGGAAGAGGCCATGTTTGTTTTGAGAGCTTCCCAGAGGAAAGCTCATAGGGTTAGTGAAGGCCAGCAGGGTAGAAGCTAAGAGAAGTCTGTGTGATGGCTGGGCCCACTCAGCCTGATGGGACTCTTGGGGCTGGGGTCACAGAAAGAATCCTGGGCAGGGGTCTTGTAAACCAGGTCTATGGGCTGCCTGAAACACCGAGGTAGCACGAGGGTGCAAGAGAATCCTCTCAGAAGGTACCCGCAGCCCCAGTCCCCCCCACTTCCCTTTCTAACCTTTCTGGGTATCGAAAATGCTGGGTTGGCCCAGCTGGCTGAGGAGGGGGCTCCCGCTGCTGGGGGACTCCAGGTGGTTCAGGTGGAGGTAGGATGGATACAACCCGCTGGGCAGGTGGGAAAAGCCTAGAAAAGAGAGAAGAAAAATGTCAGGCTGGACCTCCCACCTCCGACAAGGAGCTCCCTTCCAACCTTGCTGTTCCTTAGATATCAAGAATCTTGGCTATCGGCCGCCTGGACCGGGTGCCCCCGGGTGAGCTTGCCCCATCCAACCCTAGCACTTCAGGCCTCTCTCCCTCCAGTCCTAAGTTGCCACCAGGGGCTTGGGTTCTCAAATCCCCCAGCAAGAGGCCAGGATAGAAATGGATCCAGAATGAAAGGTGACGGCTATGATGACGACGATGATGAGAGCACTGCACTATCAACTGCTTTGGCTTTATTTGTTCTGATTTTAATTTTAAAGAAACTGTGAGGGGGAAATACTTTAATATCCCCATTTTACAGATGAGAAGACTGAGGTCAGGAAGGAGCATTCTTCACCAGGATTCTTCACCACGGTCGAGGAGTCACGAAGTCCCTTCCCAGCTGTGTGACTCGGGCAAGTCACTCATCTCCAAACCTCAATCCACCCGGCACTCCCAACTGCCATGTATCCCAAGCAGATGCTGCCAGAATGAAATTCCTTCTCCTGAGAGCCCCTCCCAGCTCCCCAAAAGCCCCTGCTCCTGCAGTGACGCCCAGAATCAGTGCCTTGCAGGGCACAGAAAATGAGAAGACGATGACTCAGAAGACACGTGGGGAACGGAAGCCCAAGCGCCATCTGGCAGGGCCTCCCTGGAATGCTAGTGGAGGGTCCGGACGCCCGCCTGGGCCACGGGTCCTCTAGGACGGCAGGCCCACTGACCACCCTTGAAGGACCAGGCCCCCCATGCCACCAGTCACTCCCACGTGGAGCCATGCCTTCTCTCACTGGGCCACCTGATAATGAGATGAGCGACAATCACAAAATAATAACGGCCAGGTGACACAACGTCTCACACCGGGTCCCTCTACTTCTCGTCCGTAAAACGGGCATACTGGACCCACCCGTAGCTCGCCCTGAGTCTGCACTGCGCAGCACCTGGCCACACAGGAACCGCTGGTGTCTGCTATCATCACTCTACTGCTATCACCGCCCAGGGGCAGCCTCTGCCCTTCTGACCCCAGCCCTGGCCTGGCTGGCTGAAGTGCAAGGCTCAGAGGCTGGCAAAGGCTGCCCACCACTCCAGATGGGCAAAGAACCTCAGACCCTCAGCAGCGAGAAGCAAGTCCACCCGCTCTGTGCAGACACACATAGTTCAGGATGATGGTGGAACAAGAAGCGGGTGACAAGACTGAGGAAAGCCCTCAGCCTATGGTTGATGCCCCCAGGATCCCAACTTCCAAAGTCTGGGAGCACCACAGGGCACCCAGGAAGCAGCAGGAGGGAGCCGGCACCCTGCTTCCGTATCACAGTCAGTGATGGGGGCAAGTACAGAGCCCCCAGGCCCAACCGTCCAGCTTCCAGAGGGGAAACTGAGACTCCAGGGAGGTCCTAGATTTGCTCAAGGCTAGCCAGACCTCAGACCCCCACATCATTCAGAGGCATCACTACAGAACCATGACAACAGAGCCCAGGACCCTGGTCTCGTTGGCCCCACAATTAGTAAGGACCAGCTGTGAACCAGGGAGACAGTCAAGCAGAACCAACGAGGCCCTGCGCTCAGCTCACACTGGTGGTGGATGCCTCACAAATAAACACAGGTAAACCCACTGTCACGGTGAGACACAGAACAGGGCCCTAAGGATGAACAGGAGACAGCCGGTGGGGTGCGGTGAGGGGATGAGAGCAGAGGGACCAGCTCGCGCAAAGCCCTGTGACAGGCAGAAGGGAGCACGGCGTTTGAGGAACGGCAGGGAGGTCAGATGACCAGGGTTGGGCCCCAGGGGCCACGCCAGGGAGGAGTGTCCACGGAGGGAGTGCGTCCTCGGCCCCACCCACCTGGCACGCTCCTTACCTTCATGAGCATGGGTGGCCCATAGCTGCACCATGGGCAGGTTGCTGGGGGTGGGGGAGCGGAAGGAGAGGTCAGAGGGCAGGGGCACCGGGCTCCCATGGGACGACGCTGAGGGGGCCATCCCGCTGGCCACAAAGCTGCCCAAGAAGGCCTCGCCTGCAGAGAGAAGGGGAGGCTGTCAGGCAGCCACCGGCCACCACTGCCCAGCCCACCCTCCCAAGACCTCCAAGTGGCCTCAGCCCGTGCCTGGGCCCACTCAACCACTTCCAGGGCTAAAGACGGCTGCAAAACCCCAGGGGAACCGCCACAGCAGACGCTCTTCCCCCTGCGCCCAGTGCACTTGGCAGGAGGGCATCACCGCCCCACTGCTCCGCAAACCCACCTGCAGAAGGGAGCTCAGGTGGGGAGGCCCAGAGTGAGGATCACGGCCTGAAACCCAGGGAGGACACCCACGAGCCGGAGAACGACCTCCCCGAGGACCCCACAGCAGGCCCAGCCCTGGGCGGGAGAAGCTCTGTGCCCATTTACAGCACGAGGAAGCAGAGGCTCGCACGTGGGGGGTGCCTGAGCCCACAACAGGGGACAGAGCTCAGTGCACAGCCAGCACCTCTCCCAGAACTGCAGTGAGTTAGAAGTAAGCGGCCAGTGAGCGGAACAGTAAGCACGGAGGCAGATGGGCTTCGAGGAGTCCTGGGGCGTGGGGGGAGGTCGTCCCTCCAGAGAACCCACCCAGGGTTCTCAGAGTCGGGGGGTGTGGTGGGACAACGCACCGGGCCCAGGTGCAAACCTCACAGACACTGCCGGGCCTTGACTGGCCAGGCCGTGACTTCCACCAGCCAGGAGCGCTGCCCTCAAGATCCAGATACCTCACCCTTCTGGGGAAGAGGGTGCCAGACCTGGGCAAGATTCCCTTACTTGGCCTCAGTTTGCTCATCAGCAAAATGGGAACATCAGTGCCTCCCTGGAGCAGTGCAGTGCAGGGCAACATGCTTGTTTAACAGTAAGATTACAAACCCCTGTCAGCGGTGCTGGTTCGGCAAAGCCTTCCAAGTACTGGGTAGTGCGGGGGATTCCGATTCATCCCACAACGCCCCCAGGAGCAGGCAGAGGCCTGACAGCTGAGCCCAGATCCCCAAGCACCCCACAGGAGCAGCTTGGCCAGTCTGAGCTCAGGGCCCCAGTAACCCTAAGACCCCCAGAGGGGCACCGTGTACAGTGAACAACAGCCCAGAGGTGTTAAAAGACTGCAAGGCCACACATGTGGCCCAGGGGGTGGTCCAGTCCACGGGGGGCTCACAGACCCCTCCAACCTAACCCCGGGGCCCCAGCAGCCCAGCGTGTAGGGCCCAGATATCACAGGTGTTCACTCACCACCTCCCAGGGCCGCCAGATCCCAACACATCTACCCGGCCTGCTCTGGGATATGTTCGGGTGAACGGAGGCCAGAGGGGCAGGGTCCCCAGAGTGGACTCGGCGGCAGGCAGAACAATGGAAGGCCACCTCCTTCCCACATGCGCCATCACCACCACTCTGTGACCAGCTCCCCACACTCCAGCCCCCTCCCAGCTGCCTCACCGGACTCCAGCGCTAAGCCCTCGGGACCCAGCGCCATGGTGGTCGGCCAGTCCACCCATGTGGCCCCAGCCGGGGCTGCAGGGCCTCTGGGCCCCGCCGGCCCTCGGCTTCCTCCTTGGTGGTGGGTGGAAGGCTCCGGAAGCCGGCAGCCAGAGATTTGCGCAAGGGCTTACATCAGCCACCAGCTCTTCCTGCCTGGGGCTGCACGGAAGCCCAGCGGCCCAGGCCTGCCCCTGCCCGGGCTTGTGAAACCCGCCCAGCAATACTCCAGCCTGGCGGGCGTTGGGGCCCGGATGCCACCAACGGCTCCCACCCCACCCGCCACCAGGGCTCAACGGCACCCAAACCCCCGCGCCCAGCCTTGCCGGAGGACACTGGCACCCCTGAGACCTATGCTTGTAAAATGGACACACCACCCCACCAACCTGCAAGTACCTCCATTCCCCCCACCCGTCACAAGTTATATGCCCCTGAAGCAGTCATGCAGAGGCCTCAGGTACAAATTCAATGAACTTCCAATCTCTGGGCCCACCTGGCCCCCAGCAAGGCCCCTGACCTTCAGGAGTCCTCCTGGCTTGCTCCCACCTGGGGGCCGAGATGCTCTCCAGGCACAAGCAGCCCAGCCACTTCCTCAGCCTGTGACAAGGTGGACCACAGATGGGTCTTCCCATGGGGACCCCAGCACCTAGGGTCCACACCAATTTTGGGCTGATTGGCTAAAGGGCATTACTTTTTTTGTATCAAGGGTTTGTTTTTGTTTTTGTTTTAACTTACTTAAGCATACAGAACTGGGGTACAGGCTGGAGGTGCAGGGGTGGTGAGAGGATGTACCAGAGACAGTGTGGGGAGCAGAACAGGCAGAAAGACAAAGGACACTGCTGAGGGGAGCAGCGGGTGGGCCAGGAGAGGTCTGCCGCGCCATGTGGTCACCTCCTGGGTATTACTACTAACCCTCACCGGGGAAGCAAGCCATTATGACAGGGTAAGCCCAGACCCTGAGGAAGCCACTTGCCATCTGAGCTGTCCTGCCTGTGGCCCTGGGATAGGAGTGAGGACAGGCAGCTGGCCCCACACTCTTAAGTCTCCAGGCTGCCTTCTAAGTCCACCAGTGTGCCTGGCGCTTTTCCTAGTGTCCAGGTAAGGACAACACTCCCGCTCCTCACACCCTGCCCTGGAGACCCCTGGGGGCCACATCAAGAAGGGGACCAGGCCCTTCAGGGCTCAGGGAAGCAGTGACAGTCAAGGCTTCTCCAGAAATGATGGAAGTCCTCCTCCTCCAAGAGGGTGTCCCTCCAGCCCAGCCCTCCCTCCCTGGTCCCAGGTCACCCCCTGGTGACCAAAGCCTCATGCTACCTGCCCACCCATGAAAGTATCTTGACACCTTGGAAGCCAAAACCAATGTGTATTAAAACCTGAAAACTGGGCCCTTCCTGGTGGTGCAGCCACAACAGGCTAAAGCATAGCAGTATGAAGGGAGCCGCACCACTGCAGCGCGAGTTCGAGCCCCGGCCAGGGAGCTGACCCACTGGTGCGGCAGCCCTCTCCTGACCCGCCCGCTGCTCCCCTCAGCAGGATTTCAGTCCAGCTGCCTGTTCTGCTCCCCACTGTCTCTGGTGCATCCCTGCACCTCTGGTACCCAGTTCTGTGTGCATAAATAAATACATCTTAAAGCACACACACACACACACACACACACACACACACCTAACACACGAGAACCAAAATCAAACGCGATCACTCATGCTGGCTGTGCAGATGCTAGCCACCTGGGCACAGGGCACCACGGGCCTCGTGGGTGCTGAACAGTGTCACCTTGAGCCTGGTACTTGCCGAGATCTTCTTCCAGCCTTTCGTGTGACACAGTCCCGAGTCACACAGCTCTGGGCAGAGGGGAGGAGGGTGATCCACAGCCCAGCAACGGGTCCCACACCCGCTACAGAGACAGCCGGAGAGGGCAGCGGGAGCGTCTGCCACCCGGCCAGTCAGCCATGCCAGCCGACCCCCACAGACACACTGCCCAGATGAGCAGCACCTGCTGGCCCTCCCGGGGTCACATAGTGGGGGTGCTGTGCCCCACCACCACCAGTCCCCTCCCCCCGGCACCTGAAGCTACTGAGCCCTCGAAACATGGCGGTGTGACTGAGGAACCACATCTTTTATTAAATTTTAATTAATTTAAATTTAATTTAGCCACAGTCTGGGCTGAAGGATCTTCTGCTAAGAAAACGGAGCAGGGGCAGGAACAGAGCTCCCCGGGAGGCAATGAAGCACCCCAGCCCGACGCCCACTTGCTCCGGGCTCTGGGCAGTCTTCTTAATTCCCCGGGGCTGTGCCATAAAGACAAGCTAGTAACATCCACTCCTCCGGGCTGTGTAAGGATGGCGTTCACATTTGTAAAATGCTTTAGCAAAGTGCCATGCTGTGTCAGCTATTATTGTTATTCTTGTTATTTATAGTCACAAAACCTGGGGTCAGAAAAGCTGAGCAACTGCCCGAGTTCCATTTGTCTTTCCTTAAAATAAAAATTGAATCTTGAAACTAGAGAGCTGGTTGTTTGACCATTATGAATGCACTAAATACCACTGAATTGTATACTTACCCATGTTTAACTGCATGCTATGTGAATGTCACCAATGTAAAAAACAAAAAATAAAAACACCAGGAAGCTCTGCTCCCGGGTCCCCAATTCAGCACTCTGGTCTGACGCCTTCCCATCTGGCTCACCCCCAAACCTGGCCCTAGTAGCCAGGAAACCTTGTTACCCCCACTTTATAGATTACAAATCCGAGGTTCAGAGGTTGCTTGGGGTCACTAGCCTACCTGCATATCCACACCAAGCCCTGGGCTCAGGAACCCCACCAGTCTGGCCCACATCTCTCAGACTCTAGGGAGAGTCGCCTCTCTCAGGGCCAGACAAGCTGAGGTGCTTGGAAACAGTGTCCCTTTCTCTGGTGCCAGTGCCGATGAGAAGGGGGGAAGCCAAGTGCCTCCCGCCACTTGGTGGGGGAAGGATATACAAGCAACAGGGGATAGACAGGGACATTTCACCCCAAAACCGTAGGCTCCCCCCAGCTGGGACCCACCAACATCCCAGTCCCTCCAACCCACAGATGCCACGGACATGCCAGCCAGACACAGCAGAGAGACTGAGTTTAGGGATGCAGGCCAGCCTGTCCTCAGCCATTGTCACCCACACTTACGCTTGAGTTTGGCCTCAGTGACCTCAAACTCTTGGCTGGGTTCCCCTGGGCGCCTGCCTGCTGCTATCTCCCTTTTCCACCTAACCCTAGGAAAGCCTGGTCTGAGGCCATCTTACTGCACCAGGCTGCCCGAGTGCATCGTGGCTCACAGCTACCCATACTAGATCCCAACCTGATGTATCAAGGCAGGAAGGAACAGTGCTGGAATCTACATCCAGCACCCTCAGAGGCCTCAGAGTCCCCCCTTACCAACCACACATCTCAGCCCCACACTGCTGCTCCCTGGCTTGGCTGGTCCAACCCCCTCCTTGCCTCCCTCTGAGATCTCCCCTGATGGCTGCCCCAGACCTGGGAGACCTGTGTGTCCCCACACACAACGCT